TCTTCTCCCGACTGGTTTTGGCAAGAGTAGCCTGGCTGTTATTTGGCCCGTCTATCACCAAAATAGGCCAATCAGCTAACCAGTATTTTCGCCCCTTCCCAAAATTACTTCAACGGAAGGTTTCCAGATGGATATGCGGAGCAAATCCATCTGGCGGAGTCAGGTTACATGTCCACACCAGTCCTTCAGAAAGTTACGCCTGTGCTTCTAACATATATTAACACTTAACTTTATTATACTCTTTTTCTGGGCCATTGTTGAGCTTTAATTTTCAGAGTGATGCTCATACAACAAAAAGGCTTCTGCTGCTAAAAAGTGGATCTTTTAGCCAGAGCTGAAGCAAAACTAAATTGACTTCAGGAACATACGATGTAAATAAAAGAAACACAACACCATACATGCCTTATTTATGATTCCCTGGATGTCCGAGCATCACTTTAATTACTGCAGAGCTTCTTATCTTATCCTCTTTGTGCCAAACATGTATTTAAATATATTTACAGTTCAGAAACTCCAACCTCGAATATTTCCATCCATCTCATCTACAGTATCCATCCATCCATACAACCACGCAGGAACACACAATTTAGAGATGCCAGTTAGCATTACAGTCATTTTTTTGGTCTATGGGAGGAACTCAGAGTACCCAGAGTGAACCCACACATGAACTGGGAGAACATGCAGAAATACACCGGGCCAGGAATCAAAACTAGGACCAGGAATCTTGCATGGGAACAGTACTAGTTTGAATCAATTTGACTGTATGATCTGGTTGAACTGTAAAGTGCCTTGAGATGACTTGTGTTGTGAATTGGCGCTATAGAAATAAACTGAATATAATTTAATTGAATTGAATTACTACACTATGGCGTAAATATAGGTAAGCAAAGACAGCAGTTGCTTACGGGCCCACAACCTCTTAGGGGCCCCATCACTGACACCTGGTAGGCTCCCTAAGCAGTTGTCGACTAGGATGCCTCTTTGCAGATGTAATGGTGCGAAAAATTCCTCTCAAACCCACCTGACACTGACGAGACTGGCCGCACCGGACCGTATTTATACCGCGACACATGCCAGATTTTAACATGATGTCTGTAACTTGGGATGTCTATAACATTTGGTGGTGCTCTGTCACCAATGGTTCCATTCAAGGTCACTATTTTTCCATGTGTGATTGCACAGTTGTATCCTCTTGGCCGATTTATGGAACTGTCGTCGTATCCTGAACCTTTATCACGTGTTGTACTTCATATGGGGCCCACCCAGATAATGTCGCTTACGGGCCTAATTTTGTGTCATTACACCATTGGTACTACAAACTGCGCCACCGTACAGCTTAGATTTTAGCATTCCTGAAATTAATATACAACAATATAAAATGTACTTCAATTAAAGGAGACATGAAATATAATTCCTGCTAAAATTTTAGGCCTGTTTTTTTTGCACCAGCCTCTTATTAACAGTAAAGAAGTATTCTTTTGGCTGGTTTTTGTGATGTTGCAGCAGGATATAATCAACAGAGATTTTTAATACCCTACCCTGACCCTGAGTCTCGGAGCCATTGTTCGGTCCTTCATTTTGATGCTATCAGCAGGTTACCGACCAACATTCTGCACAAAGGAAACCCGCTAAGACACACATTTCCCCATGTTGGCTGGAGTTCAGCTCATTATGCCAGTCACTCAGCAGGGACTGGATACGTCTCCTTACTATCACAGAGGACATTGTGTGTTTTTCTGTGTGTGTGTGTGTGTGCTCCCCTTCAGCTCTTCTCAAAGCTCTGCAGTTTTCAACCAATTAAAAGACAATCTGTCTCCTCGGGCCCCCGTGCTCCCTTCGGCTCCCACTCTCTCTCTATGAACGTGTGTTTGCTTGCCCGTGGTGACTTGGAGCCGGAGGTAGTTTAGCTGCTTTTTAGTTTTATTTTCATAAATTTGGAACATTTCCTCCCACCAGGGTGCAGTGATCCTTTGAGGCTTTCGTGTAACATTTCATCTCGCCAGATATTAAAAAAAAAACGTCCAAAGAAGAACAAAAGATCTATCTAGAAAACAGTCAGTGTTGAAATACTTGAATAATTTAGTTATTTACATGTAAAGTTTAGTTGATTGAGCAAAACAAATTCCTATTTGTATCTAGAATCTTTATTTTAAGATGTTAAATAGATATTAATGTTGTCTTTTCCTAAGGTAGATGCTGGATGCAATTAGCATTAATATCTACTATAAACTTTGAGCTAAAATGTTTTGTTTCTGTTTTATTCTTTATTCTCTGCTTTTTGTTTGGTCACTATTAGGGTTTAAAATATAAAATATTTTATCTTAAATTAAACCAGATACAGTAGAGGTTTGTTTCCCTCATCTAAATTCAGTAGCATATGTATTGAATGAAGGTCATTGACAAAAACTCTTTAATGAAACGGCTTTTATACACAGATAAAATATTTTTTCATTTTTTGTTATCACAGTATAATATTTAATTAATCCATATATAGCAAAAAACTATTTCTATTCTAAATTTACCTTCACATTTTTTAAGAAAAATGTAATTAATAGTAA